CGGAAAGTATTTTTTAGTTATTTGTAAGTTGATTAATCTATTAATGATTAGAGAATAAAGAGGTAATTAAATTATAATTAAAATCTTTAATAAACTAATTAAGAAATAATAGACCCGAATTAAACAAATAGAAAATATTTCGATCTTTATATATGAAACTTAGCAAGTTATTCTCTTTCAATTTTCAATAATTAAGACATAACTATAATGTTATGTTAAAATAATTAACAAAAAAGTATGATAACAAAATAATAACTGAATTTTGAATAGCTATTAATTAACCAGTAGCTAAATATCTAATTCATTGTATTTGTCAAATACGTAGAATACCTCTTTCATAAAAATTAAAAGAAGATAGTTAAGTGTTAATAATTTTATTTTCTGTTGTTCGTTGTTCAGGTAAGACTAGTAATCCCTTTAATTCAGTAATGTTTGCTAATCAATTAGCTTATTCTTTATCTTTTTGTTGTTGATTGTGAAAAATTCATTTCTCATATTTAATATACGATGAAGTATTTCATATATCTCTGAATTAAATATTCATCATTTAAGTTCTATCTAATTTTAGTGAATATTAAAACTCTTCCTATTTACTTTCTTGTTTTAAGAAGTATATCATTACCACTATATTGGTATGAATAATTTTCATTTTAGCCTCAACCACAACAATAAATCCTTTTTGTTTGATAATACATATATATCAAATATACCTGTATTCTAACAAGTAATTAATACCATCTTTATAAATTTTCATTCTTTTACTATAAATGATAAATGATATTCAATCACCATAAATAATAATCACTGATACTCTTGCAATATTGGGTAAGTTGTTTTCTAATCAATGGTAATGCCATAAAAGGACTATAATTGGTAGTCCGAGTCTTGGATTTATTTTATGGTTCTGTGTAGTGTTTCTAAAGTTCCACTTTCGAATCAAATACTTCTTGTTCAAAAACAATATAAAAATAAATTCTTCTATACTTCCTTGGAATTATTTAAAAATAGTTTTAAGGACAAATATCTTTTCTCTTAAATTCATTTTTCTGAGTTATCACATATTTTGATATATAATTTAAAAGACCGTTATAAAAAAAAAAAAGAAAAACTGTTTCTTAAAATGAATTACATATTTATTAATATAATAAAAAAACTCAAATAACTACTAAATATAACAAATTATTATATAAAGTAATTAGTTTAATAATATTTCTACTAATTTGATTAATTTATTCTACTCACTAACTCAGAAACTATTTAGATTGGAAATTTAACAGAATAATGAGACAGAAAGAATAGGTAGGCAAACAAAAAAATCCAACAAAAATTTTTATTTTTTTTTAAATTTTAAACACCTTCCATTTGAACAGTAAAAGTTATATAATAAGATTTTCTTACAACTAACTGAGAAAAAAAGAAACAAAATCAAATACAAGAATAATCAGAAGCAAAGCTTTTTCAAATTAAGAAAAATCAAAATAGTTAGAAAAGTAATTAGTAATTTCGTTTAAGTTTAATAATAATAAAAATATAATAAAATGATAAAACAAAAAGATAACAGGAAGAAAGAAAAATATAAAAATAGGACAAATGAGAATAAAAACTTAAAAAAAAAACTAATTTTTAATATGTTTGTATTTGCTCTACTTTTGGCTCTTGCTTCAGCCGCATCATATGGTGTAGATGTATCTCAACCAACATCTGCTAGCTCTATTTCTTGCCTTAGAAATAATGGGTTCACTGGATTCTTTATTTGCCGTGCTTGGTGTTCACCAGGATATTTTGATGACAATGCTCCATACACTCTTGGACAAGCTCAATCTGTTGGATTTGTTGGAGACAATTCAGAAGTCTATTTCTATCCATGCCTCTCATGTGGTAATGCTGCTGGTCAAGTCCAATCATTCTGGTCAAGTGTTATTGCTAACCGAATGAATTTTAAGAGAGTTTGGTTCGATATTGAAGGTCAATGGTATTCAGATGTTGGATCAAATAGAGCCTTCTTCCAAGAACTTATTGATACTGCCCTTGGAATGGGTATTGTCTCAGGTGTTTATTCATCCCAATATTATTGGGGATGTATTTTTGGATCTGGTTATAGTTATGGTCCAGCTGCTTCTCTCCCATTATGGTATGCTCACTATGATAATTGGGCTTCATTTGGTGATTTCTCTTCATTTGGTGGATGGTCATGGCCAACTATGAAACAATATAGAGGAGATGTTTCTATTTGTTCTGCTGGTGTTGATTATAACTACAGAGAATAAATCACTCATTCTTTTTATTAAATTTTTAAAATTTTATTTGCAATTTAGTGTTCAATTTAAAAGATAATATTGATGTTTAAAAAAGTAATTTAATTCATTAAAGAGTTTCTTTTTCAAGAAAAAAGATATATAAAATTAAAATAAAGAACTTATAAATATTTTTTATAATAATTTATGGCTAGTGGAGAACAATACCAAGTTTTTTATTTAACTGGTGAAATTAATGAGTTTGTACAAATATGTATTAGTTCTATGGATGGAGATATTGATTATGCAAAAATTGGAATGCCTGAATTTCCAAAAACTAAACCAAATCAAGTATGGATTGGTGCAACTTTGATTAGTGATGGTGTTCCCATTGCAATAGAAGAAGAACGGACACCAACGAGAGACTATATTTCTAAAGCTGAATGGAATGACCGTATAGTATTTCCTATTCAATACAAAGATCTAAGTGAAGATGCGGTTGTAGTATTTCGTGTGTATTGTTATCATGTTGAAAAAGGGTATGTTCCAGTTGGAGATGCTGTATTACCATTGTTTAGTTCTGATAAAGGTAATGTTTTGAGAAAAGGAACTAAACGTGTAAAAGTAGAACCTTGTAAAAAAAGTAATTGCAGTATTTCTTTAGATGTAGAAGAGTATGAAAGACAACGTCTTCAAAGATTAATTCTTGATGAAAAAGAAGAACGAATTAGTACTAAAAAAAATGCATTAGAACGTGCCGAGAAATATCAAACAAAAATGATGAGTGGTATTGGTACAACAGATTTTTTAGATCAATTTACTGCATCTATTGTTCCTGCGTTTAGACAAGAAGAAGAAAAGAGAACTGGAAGTCTTATTTATATATCAGTTATTCTTCCAGAATTTGACCACCCAGTCAAAATACAACGAAATGAAAAGGTACCATCAGAATTACCAACTGGACTAACTCAAGGAAGAACTACTGAAGATGGTCCAGTAACAGAATTAAATTTTATTGGTCAAAGTAACGAAATGGCAGGAGAAAAAATGTATATGAAATTAACTGCTTCTCTTGATGCTAAGGGTATGGGCGATAATAAACCAGTTAGTATAATGGAATATAAAAAATTAGAAGCTATTAGTAGAATGCCTGCTTCTGTTACTGTATTAAATGCTGAACAAAAGGCTTTACTAAGAAGATATGGTAGATATTTAGCTACAACAAATCCTAAAGCTTTAAATATTTTCTTAACACAAGCCATTGATTGGGAAGATCCTCATGAAGCTGCAGAAGCAATTGAATTTGTAAAAATATGGCAAAAGATTGATGTAGAAGATGCATTAGGATTATTATCTATTAATGACAGTAATGTTAGATCATATGCAGTTGATTCATTAAAAAGTACTACTGATGAAGAGTTTGAGAATTATTTATTTTCTTTTGTTCAAGCATTAAGACTTGAAAGTCAAGAAAAACCAGGTAAACGATATCTTACTGATTATCTGATTGAACGATGTAAAGAAAATTTTGTACTTGGAAATTGGTTTTATTGGTACCTTACTGTTGAATGTGGTTGTACTAATGGGGATATAATTTTCTATAAATGGGTTCGTGATATGTTTGGGTACAAAAGAAATCCTGAACATAAAAAAGAAACAGAAAAACAAATAAAACTTATTTCAGAAATTACAAAATTACAGCTCCAATTTATTGCAAGTCCATTAAGTCGTCCTGAAAAATTAGAGCAACTAAAACAATGGATTGAATCACCATTAGTTAAAGAAATATTTGCTGATGGTTCTATTGCTTTACCATTAAATCCACGTGTATATGTAAAAGGTATTAATCCAAAGTCATCTCATATATTTAAATCAAACAAAGCACCATTAAAATTACCATTTATTGTTGATACTGAAAAAACTAAAACAAAAGGAAAAATTAATTATGAAAATAAAGAGTTTATTGTTATTGTTAAACATGGAGATGACCTTAGACAAGATCAATTAATAGTTCAAATGATTGCGTTAATGGATAATTTATTGAAGAAAGATCTTATGGATTTAAAATTAACACCATATCATGTAGTTGCAACATCACCAGTTGATGGAATGGTAGAATTTATACCATCAGATGGAATGGGAGATATTATTAAAGATGGAACTTTGAGAGATTATTTAATGAAAATGAATGGAGGGTCTATTCCTACACAAGTAATGAATAATTTTATTAGAAGTGTTGCAGGAAATTCGGTTATTACTTATCTTCTTGGAGTAGGGGATAGACATTTAGATAATCTATTAGTAAGAGGTAATGGAGTAATGTTTCATATTGATTTTGGATATATTTTAGGAAAAGAATGTAAACCATTCCCACCTCCAATGAAGTTATGTAAAGAAATTGTAGAATGTATGGGAGGTAAAGGAAGTACTCAGTATCAAGACTTTACAAAATTATGTTGTGAATGTTATAATTCAATTCGTAAATCATCTAAACTAATTATGAATTTATTCCAATTAATGACAGATTCTAATATTGCTGTATTCCAAGAAATGGGAGTTAAAGTTATTATTAAACTAAAAGAAAAATT